AGTGACTTACCATCGCACGAGAGTCTGCTCTTCTGGAAGATGGTGATGACTATAGCGCCATAGAAGACGATGATGATAGAGAGGGGCGCCACATAGAGCATCACTAGGCAGAAGAGATTGTAAACCATCTCGTGGTGCAGCGACGGGAAGAAGTTGAAGGTGACACACTGCACGTAGTAGGTGAAGGTCGGATGGTGCTCCACATGGAAGATGATCACCTGCAGAAAACACAAACACACACACACACTCACTCACAACATGAAGTCTCACGTGTAAACTGAGTAAACAGTGGAGCCAGAAAAGACAACAGTCTGCGTTTGATAATTATTGTGTTTATACGGGGGCGCTAAACTCGTAAGTGTTTCAGCACCTGGGGAATGAAGGATATTGGTGTATTTGCTCCGAACCGAAAAATGAGGAAATTTTTCAACCATTATATTCCTCGAAGAGGATATAATGGTAAGTGTTAGAAACTCAACAATGTTTGAATCTGGCAAGAGGGAATGCTAATTCCCTGTGATATTGCTCTGTCAAGCCATTTTTGTAAATGCCATCCCTCTCCTCTCTCTCGTTGGCTCCATAATTCTTCTAGTAATTGTCTCGCACACCACATCTATATTGTTAAATTTCGCAGTTGTATCACTATGTGTTGAAGGAAGACCTCATCTGCATATTGAGTGAAAATAGCTACACATCTAGGCAAAAAAAAAAAATTCCCTACAACATCAGTCTATGATCTTGACGTCGCATAACCCTAGGGAATCTGATTTAGATAGTCACCTCCAGGCACGGCAGCAGAACAGAAATTCTTTACGAGCCGTAGTTTTCCCTGTCACATAGCGAAGGAAAAAATGGGTGATTTCCATGCTTGATGAACGCTTCCGAGTTTGATCCTTTGACCTGTATCTCAATTATGCAATCGAAGATGATATTTACAGCCGTCTTGAAGAGTTAGACTCATGTACAACATCTGGGTATCTTTTGTCATTCTTATATTTATCTATATAAGGACAACCTGAAGACAGTTGAAATATAAAAAGAAGACAGTGGAAGACGAGGTAATCAGTCCCTCAGCCTAGAAGCAGGTGATGAGCACCTTAGTACAGACAACATCACTACAACTTACTTGCTACTCCTGGCCCAACCATTAGGTATGACCTAGTTTAACTGGGAAATATTCCCTTTCTATTGGCAATGCTTTCGTCACTTGTGTTTCATCTGACTCCAGTATAAGACTTCCTGATATGCTTCAGATTATTGAAAACTACGGTGCTTATCACCTGTCTTCCACAGTCTTTTGAATATATTTCAACTGTCTTCATATTTGTGTCCATGTATTGTACTGATAAATCCACTGGATGGCGAAACGTCTAAGAGTAAAGATATTCATCTGTTGCATGTGTGTCTAATTCTTCCTCTTATCGGTACTGTATTAATATACAATCGTCTTGAGAACTGTGATTTTCTTAGCCTGGTAAGTTTTGATTTTGGGAGCTGAAGAGCTACCCAGTCGCAGGAATTTTTTTTCATTGTCTCCAGCATAGAGGTGAAAACAGACTGTTATTTATCTATTATTTATTTACAAGTAACCTACATAGGAAACATAGAACACATTATTTACCTAGGCATATATTATTTCTAATCACAGACAGTTTAAGTGGGTTTTACTTATATTTTAAGAAAAAATAAACACAAAATGTATACGTCACAGGAAAGCCCTAGAAAGTCTAGCATAAAACTGATATGATAGCCTAGAAATACGTGTGGAAGAAACTGTTTATTTCATATATTCCTAGCTACCAGGCAATTTTTGATAGGTAAACAGGGAGAGGAGCTGTAAACATACGTGCATATACATCCTCCACCTCCGATAATCGAACCGGCGTCCATTCAATTGAAAGTGAATGCTCTTTCACAGAACATAGAATTAGGTAAACCTACTTTTCAACTTTTTTTATTTTGAGAAAGAAAGGAAAACGGTAGGACTCCTGACAGAGCGCAGGACGATAAACGACGTCCAGTTGTTCACACACACGCTAGGACAGTCATCATTATTTTATAGCTCGCAAAGGAAAATTTTTTGAAGGATGAAAATATTTGTCAATGGTTTCATGTAACTTTTGAAATAAATCTATTCTCGAGTGTTACAAAAGATATAAAACAACGATTTCACGGCGATAAAATAGAATTGTATTTCAGTTTTCAGGCATGAAAAAAAAAATACATATGTACTGACAGGCTTACAGAGTTCTATAGAGAAAGGATTTTCAGTTTCACTCTCTCTTGACGCATCACTAAATATTACTGGTTTATAAACTGCCAAATAAAAAAAAAAGTATCTATTAGATTTTATGAAAAGAATTGCATTTACGAGTAGAAATGTTTTTGTTAACTAGAATATATACATATATATATATATATATAATATATATATATAAAATATATATAAAATATATATATATATATATATATTATATATATATATAAATATATAAATATATATATATATATCATATATATATATAAATATAATATATATACAAACATATATATATATATATATAATATATATATATAATATTATATATAATATATATATATATATAAAATATATACATAAATATATATATATATATAGATATATTATATATATATATATATATATATAATATATAATATATATAATATATAAAGTAGTGATGAAGGCGGCTCAGTGGCTCATTCTACAGAGTGGCTCCCATAGTAGGGTCCCACAGTATGGCTCCTCCTGAAAGGGCTGCGGCTGAGTGGCTCCTTTTTCTGAGTGGCTCCTTTTCACACCTATGTGCTAATGACCTTGACCTCGCCCTCGAGACCACCTCACCCTCGAGACCACCCCCACCCTCAACCCCCCTCATGACCCCCACCCGCGCCCCCCACCCGCGCCCCCCGCGCCCCCCACCGCGCCCCCCCCCCGCGCCCTGCACGCCCCCCCCCCCCCCCCATCTGCCCGCCCCTTGTGCCCTCGCGCCCGCCCGCGCCCCTCGCACCCCGGCCGTCATGCCCGACCATGCCTTCTGCTGCGCCTTCTGCAGCGTCGTCCGGATCGCCCCCGCGCCCCCGAATTTTTTCCGATTTTTTTCAATTTTTTTTTGAGTTTCTTGTTCTCTCCTCAGATCAAATTTTTGAGGTTCCCCCTCTCCCCACTTTCACCCACACCCCCAAATTTTTTCGATTTTTTTTTTCTCGAAATCAAAGACTCCATTTCCCAGGATCAAATTTTTTTCGATAATACAAAGCTCCATTTCCTGGATAAAAACTTTTGAGGTTCCCCCCCATTTTCCCCCCCATCCTTTTTTTTTTTTTTGAATTTCATTTTCTTATGTTTCTCCTCGATAAATTTTTTTGGTTTCCCCCCCCTTGGGGGGTAAGCTTTCAAAATGGGACTCCACTTGCACCCCAAATTTCCTGCTCTTTCCTTGGTCAAGGTTTTCTCAATAATACAAAGACCCCATCCCCTTTGGGGTCAAAGATTTTCTCGAAAATAAAAAAGACTCCATCTCCTTGGATCAAGGTTTTCGAAAAATACAAAGACCCCATCTCCTCGGATCATTTTTTTGGATTCCCCCCTCGGGGTATAGCTTTAAAAAAGGATCCCACTTGCATCCCAATTTTTTTTCTCGATAATAAAAAGGGACCCCCATCTCCTTGGATAAAGCTTTTGGACCCCCCCTAGGGGGTTTTCGAAATTCTTATGTCCCCTTGGGATCAAGGTTTTTCCCCCACTCTTCGGACAAGTTTTTTTGGTTTCCCCCCCTCTCGGGGTAAGATTCAAATGAATCCCCCTATGGGGAGGGTATTTCTTTACTTAGGTCTAAAAAAGTGTGACGCACCCACCTGTGTTTACCCTTGGCAGTGACGTCACGTGTTGACCTCACACAACAGGCTGAATCTTGTCGATTCCCCCTATGTAAATGACGTCACGTGATGCCCCGCACACGGGCTAAATCTTGTCGACTTACCCCTACACTTTTCTATCAACACGGAAAAAATTTTTCACTCTTAACCCCAGGAAAACCCAAAAATTTAATTTTTCGTTAATCCACAAAAATCCACAATTTCTTCACAAAATAAACCCAAAAAGTCTAGACATTTTTCTCTTTTTAAACTTTTTATCAGAAAAAGTCACCAATCCTTATAACCATTTTTCGTAAATTCATAGTCAAAATTTTACAATTACGAAGTTAATACGCACACACACCCCCTTTTATTTGAACCCCTTAAAAAACACTTAAAATCATTTGAATACTCACAAAATACCTTTAAACTTTTCCCAAAAAACCCCTGAAACCCTTCCCAAAACAACATTTTGAAACCCCCAAATAAGATTTGACAGCTTAATTTATTTTTACCTTAACTTTCATTAAAATTTCAAAATTTTCCCCCCAAACTCCCCCTTCAGTCTCCAGACTTTTACAAAATTATCAAAAAAACTAAATCAAACACTTTACTTTGAAAAATCACCAAAAAACACATCATTGCCCTTTAAAACTCCAAAAACATCATTCGAAAACCCCCAAAATCACCTCTGAATACTCTCAGAACACCTTCATAATTTTCTTGCACATCATTTGAACACTTTAAAAAACCTTTGAAAAACCTCAAAACACCATTTGAGTACTCCCCAAAAACACCACAGAATACTACTAAAACACCACTGAATACACAAAAAAACCACCAAAATCACCATAAACAAGTCAACACCCCAAACCCACAACCCCACAACCCCCAAAAACCCACATCCCCCATCACCCCCAAAAACCCCCCAAACCCACAAAACCCCCACCCCACAATTTTTTCTCGTTTTAATTAATTTCTCGAAAGTCACAACAACAACACACTTATAAACATTTTCAACAAAACTTTTTTCGACAAAACACCCACAACCCCAATTTTTTTTGTTTTAACTAATTTCTCAGAAAAAGTCACAACAACAAAACCCCTTTAACATCTTTTTTTGTACTCTAGTTCGACAACAACGCCCCCAACCCAAACACCACATCCACAAACCCACAACCCCCCTTTTTTTTTTTTTTAACTAATTTCTCAGAAAAAGTCAAAACAACCCAACTTATAACACTTTTCGGTATTCTAGTTCGACAACAACACCACAACCCCCCATCCCACACCCCACAATTTTTTTTCGTTTTAATATTTCATCAGAAAAAGTCACAACAACAACCCCCTTTAACATCTTTTTTTCGATATATCTGTTCGAAACAATACCCCCAAACCCCCTCAGTTACCATTTTTTTTCACAATTTATTCGTACAAATTTTTCCCCCTTCTTTTATTTAAACTTAAATGAATGCACATTCCTCCCTACATTACAAAATTTAAAAAAATTCTTCTCCCCTACCCATCTCTTGTTTCCCCAGGACAATAAACCCTGCCACATATAAAAATAAATAATGTGATCTTAAATTAGGATTGCGAAAAAGATTTTGCAGTAATCTGAAACCAAAACAACAGTGATAAGTGTTCGCTAAAGCTAATAGAAAACTTGGCTTATATCGAAGCATAAATAATAGGAGTCCTCGGTTGTTCTTTAACTCTATACATCCTTGGTTAGGCCCATTGATTTGTGCACGTTTTGGTCACCGTATTACAGAATGGATATAATTCTCTGGAAAAAAGTCAAAAGGGGGTGACAAAGTTGATCCAAAGTATCAGAAACTTCCCTATGAGGGTAGATAAGGGCTGAATCTGCATCTCTAGAAAGACGTAGAATTAGGGGGGAAAATTTATTGAGGGGTTAAAAGGAAACGGGAAAAATAAAAAGGGGGTGTAAAAAAGTGTCTGAAAATATTAGCCCAGACAGGATCGCAGCAAAGTTTTAAGTTGGAAAATCAGATTCAGGAGGATATAGGAAAGTATGGTTTTTGGTAATAGAGTTTGGTGAGTGGAAAAACCCCGAGTACAGTAATAGAGGCCAGAACGTTGTGTAGCTTTAAAAATAGGTTGGATAAATACATGAGTGGATGTGGGTGGGTGTGAGTTGGACCTGATAGCTTGTGCTACCAGGTCGGTTGCCGTGTTCCTCCCTTAAGTCAATGTGACCTGACCTGACTAGGTTGGGTGCATTGGCTTAAGCCGGTAGGAGACTTGGACCTGCCTCGCATGGGCCAGTAGGCCTTCTGCAGTGTTCCTTCGTTCTTATGTTCTTATGTTCATATAAATTGATATTATACTCACAACAACTAATCTCACTACCCAACTACTGAGACATGTTTCTACACCCTCCATTCTTTTCCAATATATCATAACTTTTCAATTCTATAAATTCTTTTAAAATATTCACACATTACCTTTATTTTCAGTAAAATCCCCCCATATTTCATTAAATTTCTAATACAACCTCCCGATACCCTCTCCATCTCACTCACATTTCTTCACATCCACTCACCCGTTTCCATCACACCTCTTCAGAACAACACAAAAATAACATTTCACATCCACAAATGCATCTCATCACCCATCTCAAATCCACTAAAAATCACTGTAAACTAAGATATTCACAAAATTCTATAACCACCTAACACACACAGACAACTCACTTTACTTTGAACACTACCAAAAACACCATCAATTACCATTGAATACTCCAAAAAAATCATTCGAACACCCCCAAAACACCGCTGAATACTACCCAAACTAAGATCAACACTACCAGCTAATATCCATTTTATAGAAATCCCCACATTTCCTCCCTACACTAAATTTCTAATAAAATCTATCTCCTCAACTCAACATAGTTTAATATTATACTCATAACCCCACAATTTTTCTCAGTTCATCTATTTCATCAGAAAAAAAAAGTCACCCGCATTTTTTGACTCAGTAATATTCACAACATGTCATAAATTTTTAGAAAACACTCGTCTTTTTATAAATATATCACGAACACATCCAACTAAGATATGATATAAATCACATTTTTAGCCACATTCCCTCAATTTCGGTAATATGAACAAAATTGATTGGGATAACATTTAGAACATTTCCAAATTACGTTGGAGCACATTCATAAATATATTGGAACACTTCCAAAATACATTAGAGTACTCCAGAATTACTTTGAACGACTCTATTTTTGGATATTTCCAAATTAGTTTTGAAAACTTTATCGTAAAATCGAACATTATTTTCTTGTTGGTAAACACACGCAATGGTAGAAATATTTTCTCGATTTCCGAATAGAAACACATTCCTCACTCTGAGAGACTCCTTGAGCTTATATGCCTTACCCCAAAGTATTGCGTCATGATTTTTGTACAATCCCCTTCAGCGAGGCCATGAAATGGTGTTCACACCCAAGGTAGATTTAAGATAATCATCTCCTTACCGAACACCTGCGTCAACTCAGGTCAGACAGACACCATGAAATTAACTTAAATGAGATATAACATTTTGAATTCTACCTCAATCCTTTTTTCATGGTAAGGTTTGATTGATTTAAAATTCATCATGTCTTAAAAACTTTTATCAAACATTTCTCTTTTTAATGAATGAAACATCATATATTATTAATCTTGGTGTAACAACACGCTCTTAACATCATATATCCTCCTCTCTAATACTTGTTCTTCCAAGCCCCGTCACATCGGTACCTGTTAATTTTAATATATTTTTTTATTTCATTAGCATATAATGGGGAGAAATTTGCACCATCACCTGAAAAAGATATAAACCAACTAAAAGTTACATATTTTTTCACTATCCCAAACATATGCTTCTCGTTAACTTAAATATCTTCCCATTCTTGACTTAAAAGCATAATCGTACTGTGTCCCCTTATTAACTTTAATGAATTAAAAGCGTCTTATTAACTTAAATGATGTAAGTATTATGGTAGACATGATTCTTGGTGTTCAGGTAGAGAGAGAATGTCGAAATGGTAAGTGGCATATTCATGAAGAGTAAATATGAGTTATATATATTATTCAAATATATATATCTCTCTTCTTCAAGTTATATTACTTCCTCATAATAATTTAAATTAATTAAACCGCTGATACAGGTAAATAATTTTGCTTACCTCATGAGGGATACCAAGCACTTCTTCAATTCTAGAAGACAATAACTTCGAATTCATCTTCTAATTCATGACCTGGTTAATGTTTTTCATTTCTTCTTTGACAACCATTGTTGATCGAATACCTTCTTCCTTAAATTTCATTATCATATCTTCGAGTATAGGTTTATAATGTGTATTCCAGATATAATCATTTGAAGTTTCACACCTCCCAATACCTTTCAGAAAGATAACCTCTCGTATATTTTTATTGTCTTTCACACTTTTTATGACTCTCTCAATGGATTCCTTGAAATATCTTATTCTGTCTGCGATAGTATCTTTCTTTAAACCATACACCAAATGGGAATCTCTTGATTTTTCAATTAAATTTTGAGAAATGGTATTTTCCTCCAATGGTCCAGCAATACCAAATTGGCTTATTATGGCTGCTAAATAAGGAAGATTCAATTTTCTTTGATCTGGTGAAGGTTCAAACTCGATAACAGTTCCAGGAGTATCACGATCTTCAACTCTGCATCTTCTCAGATTAAATAAAGGTTCTCTACTCCGATACACATCAGCATAAGGATATTTCTTACCCAAATAATAACTTGCACCATATCCTTTTATAGCAACACAATTCGCATGAAAAATAATGCAGACGTTGTCACGACAATATTTTTCATCGTACAATTTTCCTTCTTCAATTTTAAAATATTTTTCCATCCTAGTGTCTGTCTCCATTTTCTTGAGATGGTTAGTCTCACCCTGGTGGAAGAGGTACTGATGTATGAACAACAAAGAACAGAGATGTTTATACTCATCACTGTTCCTGCCAGACGTATGATCTCTATTCAGTTGCCTAATAAGGTTTTAGAGTGCTGGTGAATAAAACAAAAAAAAAGTATTATAGAGATATTTTATTTGTCATATTTTACAATAATGATAACAGTATTTCTGCGATGTTTTTTTTTTTAATTCCTTTGCAAAATCATGAATGATTTTAAGATATGCATGCCAATCACCTCCGGCTGAAGCACATCCAATTCCTTCTCGAAACACAACTTTTTCCATTATAATCCCATTGGGATCTGTTAATAACCACTTAACAAGATCATTCATGCACTCTTTGAATATAATCTCACGACCTTTCTTTGTATCTAAATATTTGCATGTATTATAGTAGGCCTTATCAACTTTACAGTTCATGTAATACTTATGTGGAGGTCCCATCGCATACTGTGCGAACATATTGACAATCATGGGGTTATTTTTTCCATTATTTACAAATTTTATGCTCCCAAATTATCACAAGTGACTTCACTAGCTAGATTTGCTTTATGACATCCAGGTGATCTAAATAAATACGGATTGCTAAGTGGTAAAACCTGACTTAAAGCATCAGCAAGACCTCCCTTTTTCAATTTAACAGCACAACAATTTGCTTGTTGTACTAAAAGAATTTTATCGCTGCCACTAAAATCTTTTGTAATATTACCTTTCATTAACGAAAAATATTTTTCTTCATCTTTTGTTGCTTCTTTACCTGCAATTTTGATAAAATATAGTATTATATCCCAAAAATTAAGTTTGTTACTCAACAAATGAAAAAAAAAATATTTCTCATTAGAATTTCTAAAAATTACATTGTTGGTGAATTTACTCAATAATATCTCATTAAAAACTCACGTTCAAAATCTTCCATTGCTATAAGCATTTCTTTATCGGTGAGATATTGTTCAGTCACCTTCCTTCGTTTTGGAGGGTTGTGATCAAGGCCTTCTATCGAATTAATCATTTCTTTATCAGTTCAGTGATGTGTAGACACTTGCTTCTGTAACAAATTTTTCACATGTAACTTCCACGTCTCCATCTAAATACTCTTGTAACTCAATACGGATGTGTCTTCTTATACTCTTTTCACCACGAGGGTTGTCGAGTTAGTAGTTTTTATAACTATATGTGTAGAGAAATTTGTTCCATGAAAAACACTACGTGGCATCACCATGACGAAAGGTGAATGAGCCACCACGAGTTTAGTGTCATACAGGATGGGGATCATAACTTACTTCAATGGTATTATGACATGTTATTACTATACCGATGGTGCATACTTGGAAATGCATGAAGACAATTAAAGGTAAGATAATTTGTTCAATGAGTATCGTGACATCATGCTTTTAGTTCATTTAAAATAATAAGGGGAAGATGCTCTAACCTGTTTTAACGAGTTGCTGGTTAGTGACGTCACAAGGAAATAGTAAGTGTTGCCAAAAAAAATATTGTCTGAATATTTCTTTTTACTGAAAAATAAGGAAAGTTAACAATGACTAAACATATTATTTGAAATATACAATGGATAATATATATGCTTTGAAGAAATCCCCTGTAATGTGTATTTGAATTATTAAAAAAAATGATATTCAATGATGACAACGATTGAAATTTTTGGTATAAATATTTGGTGTGAAATGGTAAGGAATCACTTGAGCAAAAGAAGAAATATGGAGGTGGTTGCGACAAAACATACTAGTGTGGTGCTTATAGAAATGTTATATACAATTAAGAGAGTCGAACCCATTCAAAAAAGAGTTGATGCGGAACATGTTCTCTCAAAAGAAGTGTTTGTAGCTGAGGTACGAGAAATGACTCAACGATGGAGTGAAGAAATATTGGAAAATTTATTGTTACGAGAATGTGAATGGAGTAGTCATTTCTCGTACCTCAGCTACAAACACTTCTTTTGAGAGAACATGTTCCGCATCAACTCTTTTTTGAATCGGTTCGACTCTCTTAATTGTATATAACATTTCTATAAACACCACACTAGTATGTTTAGTCGCAACCACCTCCATATTTCTTCTTCTGCTCAAGTGATTCCTTACCATTTCACTCCAAATATTTATACCAAAAATTTCAATCGTTGTCATCATCGAATATAATTTTTTTTTAATAATACAAATACACATTACAGGGGATTTCTTCAAAGCATATATATTATCCATTGTATATTTCAAATAATATGTTTAGTCATTGTTAACTTTCCTTATTTTTCAGTAAAAAGAAATATTCAGACAATATTTTGTTTTGGCAACACTTACTACTTGCTTGTGACGTCACTATCCAGCAACACGTTAAAACAGGATAGAGCATCTTTCCCATTATTAACTTAAAAGCATAATCATACTGTGTCCCCTTATTATTTTAAATGAACTAAAAGCATGACGTCACGATACTCATTGAACAAATTATCTTACCTTTAATTGTCTTCATGCATTTCCAAGTATGCACCATCGGTATTATTATACCGATGGTGCATACTTGGAAATGCATAATATCGTTGAAATAAGTTATGATTACACTCTACAGGAGCCAACAAATGCATTACCAATTCCATTAATTTGCTAGAAATCAACACAGTTGTTGAAGTTCCCTTATGGGGGTTTGTTCATCTATTATCCACGATACAACTTTTTCTTGCTAAGATCACCTCCTCTGGATATTAAAGGTTTATATACATTCCACTTAAGATTCTTCACCTCACCAAAGAAATCCAACAAATGTTTAACTCTCCCCATCCTGTATGACACTAAACTCGTGGTGATTCATTCACCTATCATCATGGTGATGCCACGTAGTGTTTTTCATGGAACAAATTTCTCTACACATATAGTTATAAAAACTACTAACTCGACAACCCTCGTGGTGAAAATAGTATAAGAAGACACATCCGTATTGAGTTACAAGAGTATTTAGATGGAGACTTCAGATCTATGTAAGTTCCTTGGACTAAAAATTGAAGTGGGATTTTTGTTATAGCCTAAAAAAAAAATTCGTGTTAGACTCATCTAGTGTTTAAGTTAACAAGAGGAAAAGTTCATTTAATAAGTGGAAGTTACATATGAAAAATTTGTTACAGAAGCAAAAGTGTCTACACATCACTGAACTGATAAAGAAATGATTAATTCGATAGAAGACCTTGATCACAACCCTCCAAAACGAAGGAAGTTGACTGAACAATATCTCACCGATAAAGAAATGCTTATAGCAATGGAAGATTTTGAACGTGAGTTTTTAATGAGATATTATTGAGTAAATTCACCCACAATGTAATTTTTAGAAATTCTAATGAGAAATATTTTTTTTTTCATTTGTTGAGTAACAAACTTAATTTTTGGGATATAATACTATATTTTATCAAAATTACAGGTAAAGAAGCAACAAAAGATGAAGAAAAATATCTTTCGTTAATGAAAGGTACTATTACAAAAGATTTTAGTGGCAGTGATAAAATTCTTCTAGGACAAGCAAATTGTTGTGCTGTTAAATTGAAAAAGGGAGGTCTTGCTGATGCTTTAAGTCAGGTTTTACCACTTAGCAATCCATATTTATTTAGATCACCTGGATGTCATAAAGCAAATCTAGCTAGTGAAGTCACTCGTGATAAATTTGGAAGCATAAAATTTGTAAATAATGGAAAAAATAACCCCATGATTGTCAATATGTTCACACAGTATGCGATGGGACCTCCATATAAATATTATATGAACTGTAAAGTTGATAAGGCCTACTATAATACATGCAAATATTTAGATACAAAGAAAGGTCATGAGATTATATTCAAAGAGTGCATGAATGATCTTGTTAAGTGGTTATTAACAGATCCCAATGGGATTATAATGGAAAAAGTTGTGTTTCCAGAAGGAATTGGATGTGCTTCAGCCGGAGGTGACTGGCATTCATATCTTAAAATTATTCATGATTTTGCAAAGGAATTAAAAAAAAAAACGTCGTAGAAATACTGTTATCATTATTGTAAAATATGACAAATAAAATATCTCTATAATACTTTTTTTTTTTGTTTTATTCACCAGCACTCTAAAACCTTTTAAGGCAACTGAATAGAGATCATACGTCTGGCAGGAACGGTGATGAGTATAAACATCTCTGTTCTTTGTTGTTCATACATCAGTACCTCTTCCACCAGGGTGCGACTAACCATCTCAAGAAAATGGAGACAGACACTAGGATGGAAAAATATTTTAAAATTGAAGAAGGAAAATTGTACGATGAAAAATATTGTCGTGACAACGTCTGCATTATTTTTCATGCTAATTGTGTTGCTATAAAAGGATATGGTGCAAGTTATTATTTGGGTAAGAAATATCCTTATGCTGATGTGTATCGGAGTAGAGAACCTTTATTTAATCTGAGAAGATGCAGAGTTGAAGATCGTGATACTCCTGGAACTGTTATCGAGTTTGAACCTTCACCGGATCAAAGAAAATTGAATCTTCCTTATTTAGCAGCCATAATAAGTCAATTTGGTATTGCTGGACCATTGGAGGAAAATACCATTTCTCAAAATTTAATTGAAAAATCAAGAGATTCCCATTTGGTGTATGGTTTAAAGAAAGATACTATCGCAGACAGAATAAGATATTTCAAGGAATCCATTGAGAGAGTCATAAAAAGTGTGAAAGACAATAAAAATATACGAGAGGTTATCTTTCTGAAAGGTATTGGGAGGTATGAAACTTCAAATGATTATATCTGGAATACACATTATAAACCTATACTCGAAGACATGATAATGAAATTTAAGGAAGAAGGTATTCGATCAACAATGGTTGTCAAAGAAGAAATGAAAAACATTAACCAAGGTCATGAATTAGAAGATGATTCGAAGTTATTGTCTTCTAGAATTGAAGGAAGTGCTTGGTATCCCTCATGAGGTAAGCAAAATTATTTACCTTGTATCAACGGTTTAATTCATTTAAATTATTATGAGGAAGTAATTATAACTTGAAGAGAGAGAGAGAGAGATATTTGAATTAATATATATAACTCATATTTATCTCTTCATGAAATGTGCCACTTACCATTTCGACCTTCTCTCTCTACCTGAACACCAAGAATCATGTCTACCATAATACTTACATCATTTAAGTTAATAAGACGTTTTTAATTCATTAAAGTTAATAAGGGGACACAGTATGATTATGCTTTTAAGTCAAGAATGGGAAGATATTTAAGTTAACGAGAAGCATATGTTTGGGATAGTGAAAAAATATGTAACTTTTAGTTGGTTTATATCTTTTACAGGTGATGGTGCAAATTTCTCCCTATTGTATGCTAATGAAATAAAAAAATATATTAAAATTTACAGGTACTGATGTGACGGGGCTCGGAAGAACACGTCTTAGAGAGGAGGATTTATGATGTTTAGAGCGTGTTGTTACACCAAGATTAATAATATATGATGTTTCATTCATTAAAAAGAGAAATGTTTAATAAAAAGTTTTTAAGACATGATGAATTTTAAATCAATCAAACCTTACCATGAAAAAAGGATTGAGGTAGAATACAAAATGTTATATCTCATTTAAGTTAATTTCATGGTGTCTGTCTGACCTGAGTTGACGCAGGTGTTCGGTAAGGAGATGACTATGTGATTTTCTACCTTGTGTGTGAACCGCATTTCATGGCATCTGTCTGACCTGAGTTGACGCAGGTGTTCGGTAAGGAGATGATTATCTTAAATCTACCTTGGGTGTGAACACCATTTTCATGGCCTCGCTGGAGGGGATTGTACAAAAATCATGATGCAATACTTTGGGGTAAGGCATATAAGCTCAAGGAGTCTCTCAGAGCGAGGAATGTGTTTCTATTTGGAAATCGAGTAAATATTTCTACCATTGCGTGTGTTTACCAACAAGAAAATAATGTTCGATTTTACGATAAAGTTTTCAAAACTAATTTGGAAATATCCAAAAATGGGAGTCGTTCAAAGTAATTCTGGAGTACTCTAATGTATTTTGGAAGTGTTCCAATATATTTATGAATGTGCTCCAACGTAATTTGGAAATGTTCTAAATGTTATCCCAATCAATTTTGTCAATATTACCGAAACTGAGGGAATGTGGCTAAAAATGTGATTTGTA